GATGTTTTAAAACGCAACTCTTTTCCAGTATCCTCAGCTGTCCAGACCACTTCTCATTTTCTGACCTCTTTTAGAATTTGTTTGGCATAATGTCCATCTGTCTGCACCCCCAACACCAGAGTGAAAGCTCCCAGAGGCTAAAGGACTTTGTTTTGTTCACCGCTCTATCCCCAGTGTGTAAACAGAGCCTTGGGCACATAATGCTCAAGAAAAAATTTCTGAATGCACAAATCTTACAGCTATTAAATGGTACCTATTTAATTACAGTTCTTAGAACCAATTTTCCTAAAATCTTCCCACTATTTGTTCTCATTTGGATAGATTGCCATCTGTGTCTGCTTCAGATGTCAAAGTCCTGAGATACCTTTCAATCATACTACTCCATGTTCTGCTGGTTCTTGCAGAGCATGCTCTCCAGCAGGTATTTTCAGAAAGGGTGGTGGCAAAGTTTCTGACTGCTTGCTTGCCTGTTCGTCTTTATTTTGCCACCTCAACCTCCTCGACAGTTTGGCTCTAGAAAGAATATACTCGTTCAAAATAATTGTCTCTCACCAGTATGAGTAAGGTGCTCCATTATCTTCTAGAGCTCACTGTTGCTACTCAGAAATCTGATAATCCTCAGAAGAAATAATCAGAGAAATAATTTCCCAAACCTGGATACAAGTCTTCCGAACAAAAGGTTTATTGAACAGGCTGTGAAGTGGGAAAGTATAAATGATAAAGTTTTTTGAAATCTCAAAACACAAAGCTTGAAGAGAGCATTTCTTTTTGATATTCCCTCCCCTTCAGAGCATTTTCCTCGCACAGGTTGAAGCACTGGAATCCTCCGTTTCCTCTAACTTCTCATCCCTCAGATGACCTCGCAGGCTGGTTTTTTTTGAAATGTCAGGTTAGTGTCCTTGAGGAGTATCAGACTGCTAACTCCCGAAGGTGATGGTATCAGGAGGCTGAGGTGACCGGGAGGTGTGTGACAGGGTCATGAGGGTGTCACTCACGAAGAGATGCCCTATGAGGAGATTCCTGGCCCCTTCAGCACATGAAGATCTGAGGAGTCTGCAGCCTGGAAGGGGCCCCTCACGTGATGACCACACTGGCTCCCTGATCGTGGACTTCCAGCCTCCAGAACTAGGAGAAGTCAACTTCTCTTATTTATAAGCTATCTAGTCTGGGGTATTTTGCCACAAGAGCCCCAACAAAGACACTATCCAAGCAGCAAAAATCAGATATAAGCAAAACCTGCAGAAATTTGTGAAAAACCCCAAAATTACATTGTTTGGAATTTGGAATCCGGGTGGCTGTGCTCATAGCAGCAACGATGATTCTTACCTCTTGTCTGTGCTGTTTCTGAACAAGGAAACAATGATAAAGACACCCAGAAACCGCAACAAAAATGTCTGTGGGCCATGCCTGAGCGGTCTGCTGAACACAATCGGGGTCTGATGTAAAGAAAGAATCAGCCGGCTCCAAAATTTGAAAGGCCCAGACGTCTAAAGGATAGATGCACTGAGGCAGCTGCAATTAATAAATTAAGAAAAAGGTGACCAGGTGAAGCTCTGAGGATTTTTAAAGAATAATCTTACTTGCTGTTCCTTGAAAGGACCAAACCCCCAAATTTTTAAAGACCCTTGCTCAGGAGTCCTTTCTGTGCCCCCAAAGCAGCGATCAGTGCGTTTTTCGATCTAAAGCTTCCCCCACCCCCCCGTGAGCTATAAAGCCTTCCGTGGAGCATGGGTTGGAGTTGGCCAGTGTCTTTGCTCTGCTGCCATCACCTTCCTGTCCGACTAGCATCACCCAGCCTTCCATGCCAGGACCGCACCCCCTCCCCGCTGCTTGTGAAGCTTCAGAGCAAACATCTGGCTCTCCTTATTCTGGTAGGAACTTCTTTCCTTCGGGCATCAAGGGGCAGATAGAAACTGTTGAGACTGGGGGATGAGGGATGGGGTCCCAAGCAGCCCAGAGGCTGTAGCTACCTGGTGGAAAGCATTGAAAAGTGAATGTAAGGTCACATCAACAGGAGTTGTTACTGGAGACAGTAAACCGAAGGTAACATTTCAATTGTTTTCTTTGCAGTGTGCTCAAAGCATATTTTAAGCAGAGGGTAAATAATTTCCTTCCTGTCGGTTTTGTAGATTTTTGCATTTCCACGAGTTTTAGCAAATTCCCAACTATATCTCTAAAGCACAAAAAGGATAAATCTATAAAAACAGATAAACTTATGAACCCTTGCACCTTTTATGTCTTTTGAACACGTGCTCAAAATAGAATTCCTGATAAACCACCTTCAGTTTCTTCAGACACTTTATCAATAGTAGAAAGAACTTCATCTTAACCCAATTACCTCAGTCTTAGGCCATGAAATGACAAAAGTTAAGGAAATTTCTTGAAATATTACTCTTTTTCTCATTGGCATTTCTACTTTAGAACCAACCAACCTTGGCACGTTTCATGATACAGCCAAACCTAACGGACCTATGCACAAGGTCCAACGCAGTGAGGAGTTTCTAACTGGATGTATTTGGTGTGTATATACATAGTCTTTCTCAACTGTGGCACTGTGACGTTTGGGGATTGGGGGGGGGGTGCTGTCCTCTGCACCACAGATGGTTAGCAGTCCCCCTTTCCTCAAATTGTGACAACCCCAACTGTCACCTGCCCGCAAACTTGCTGTCATGGGGGAAATGGTCCATGACTGCCCAATACAGTAGCTCACAGCTTTTAAAAAGTGATCTTAACTAAAAATACAAGCATACTTAAAAATATGCTCTAAGTGAATTCTAGTTGAAAGGAAAAACCAAACCAGGATGGAAAGAAAACATTTATTCAATCAAAATCAATACTTTCTTTTAATATCTACAAGCCAACACTGAATGAACACAATGTACAAAAAAAGTATGCTTATATTATAAAAATATGTCAATTTTATCTTCTGGGTGCTGAGCAGAAGTCATTTTAAACAAAATCAAGGCAAACTTGCTCTCTATAATGAAACTGCTATAATTTAATAACAAAAGTGAAAGCTAATATATACTCACAAAATATCTTTAAAGGCGATATAATGCTGCATTGGAAATGCTGAACCCAATCACCATAGTGAACTTTTCTTATTGGCACCACTTCACGCCTACATCATGGGAAAGCACCTCTTTTATAGAATGCAGATCACTAACAGAATCCAGGGCATTGGTTAAACCTTCATTCAGCTTTCCGTGCTAAATGTTAGCATGTATTTCAGCAAAGTAATAACAGTCAATCCTATTTATTTAGATTCAATTTTAAAAATGAGACACATGGCCCAAGAGTTACAATCCGCAGATGATGTGGGGAAGCTGCCACCCTTCACACTCTTCAAAAGCCTCCCTAAAAAATGTGTCCAAGGTTAGTATATTAAAATTTTTTGTCATTTCTTCTTGCATTTATTGGCACCTTCCTTGGCATATGTTCTTGCACACAGTGTGGCTACTGTAGGTCAGTTACACGCTCTTACCATGGAGGTATGCTCCAGTACTCACTGGAGTATTTGGTCCACACAGAAGTAAAATCAAATCATGAGTTCAAGAAAAAGGAGCAGGGCTCTCTGTATTGTGAATCCAGGAGTTATAGGACAAGTATGAAAGTTCTACTAATTTTAAAAGTCAAAACAGACTAAAGGGCATCACTATGGACAGGGCCCAGAAAATCCAATCTGTCTTGTAAGACCTTGTACAAAGCAGTGTCCGTGGCAGGACACAGACTCTGGCTGAAAAAAAAACGACACGGGTCCTCAGCAAATCCCAGAACGCAGTATCCACACAGTAAATTAAACTGCAAACTGCCTGTTTTTAAATTACTAAGCATGAATATTTCCTCGACAGATTCTCTCTGGGACTGACACCTATGAAGCCTCCAACTGTAGAAATACAAGCACTCTATTCAGAAGCACTGCTTTCCTGGTTTGTCTATATAAGCTATTTATCCAGTTACCTGGTTCATAAGAACCTGGGACTAAGATGCGAAGAAAACAATTCTTCACCTAATTTCTCAGCTGTCTACATTTTCACCTAAGTCCCATTTGCTGCATAAAATATTAATCCTAAATGTAGTTAGGACTGTATTGGACAGAGGATTTAAACATTCTAATGAGAATACATACACCACGCCCTCACAGAGAAGGGAAAGTACTTACAGAAATATCTGAAATACACATAATTTATGAAGAATAAACATTTTGGAGCCTGAGCAATGGTTTCTCACCAATGTCCTAACAAATCACCATACAGATTTTCACTGGCAACGATTCGGCCAAGTCATTATATTGCTCTGGGTTAACTTCCACTGCCCCAAAACAGGTCTGAATATGGAAAGGCCAATGACTCTGCAGTGAGTAGTACCGGCCAGGAGTTAAGTTAGTGGAAACACATGGATCCCATCATATTAAAATAACAAGTCAAAACAGAATGAGTACACAATGAGACTGGATGAGGGCATCACCACAACACTCTGATACACAACCACACCTGTTCACAAATACAGGTCCTCACTCTCAAAATAAATATATTGAACATTTACAACCAAATGAACACCTTATGAATGCCAGATTTTAGTTCTAAAATAAGCTACAGGTTACCTTTGTGTGTGTGAAACTGACGTGACTTGGTGCCACAGCTAATCCCTCTCTAACGGCAGCAAAGAAACACTCATTTCTGGGTTCCCAGACAAAGCAACTTCATAAAGCATGCGGATATCGATTCTGCTCAAGTTTCAAACGAATAAAAATGATCATTGTGCTTGTGGATGTCCTACCTTCCAAAATATACAGAAACAGTGACAACAAAAGCAGGTCCTACCTTACCAACAAACTCATAAGGCAGAGGGCTGGAGATGGAAATAGAAACTTTTAAAATGGGAGAAAAATGCAAAATAGTGCGAGCATTCACAAAAAAGACCGTGCTAAGATCAGATCCATAATTGATAAAAATGAAGCCACGATCCAAAGTCCGTGAGTCCAAAGGCATGCATGCCAGCCAAAGGAAACGCAGGGTTCATCTGACGACAGCTTCTGCAGAGCAGAACAAGAACGTCTCACTGGAGGAATCACAACAGGGTGAACAAGATGCCATCACACTTCTTGTTTGTATTGGAAAAGGAATCACAACAACAAATTAAAGAGTGAAAAGAGAAAACACAAATTCACAATGACCTATAAAACCGAAAGAAAAATCCGAATTATTTTTACACTTTAAGAAAAGTTCTTTAATTTGTAAAGTTTTCAAAGATTTATCAATAATGCAGTCTAAAAAACATAAAAGTACTTCACTACACACGACATTCCCCAAAGTACCAATACTCAAAATAGTAATTTCATTCATGTTTAAAGAATGAAAGCCTCCTCCCCACATGGTTGTCTTACAGCACTCAGTGTTCTTCGTAAGTTAAAGAGCAACCGAAAACTATTCAAAGTGCCTACAACCATCCCGTGAAATACTGAGCAGGGTAAAATATGTTTGCCTTTTCCAGTGTATGACCCAGGTACTCACGGGAGCCAGGATTCGGGGCTATCCAGCCTTCGTATCCACAAGCTGCATCTGCACGCTGGCAGACATCCCACCCCCGTAGCCCCCCTTGGACTGCATCTGGTTCTGAATGGAGCTAACCTAAAATAAGACAAAAACAGAACCAAGTCAAGAACTAGGGACAAGACAACTGATTCTGGCCCTCAATGTTTTAGCTAAGCAGTTTTGAGAAGGATACTTTCTATAGAAAAAAAATTCTATTTTTACAGACTTAAATTTCTGATCGCCCTTAGGGAAATGGTGAGGCTACTAAAAACACTTTTCAGCCCTCAACTCCCTCTCCCCACTTAGCAGTAACAAAATACCTGTTTTGTAATTCACAATGTACTTGGTAACATTTCAAAAACAGAAGTATACAGATCAACTCCAGTTCTTAATTTACAGACACCTCACATAGATGATCACCTCAATTACTTAGAATCAAACAAAAATAAATACATATGAAATTGGACCAGCCAAAGATAAATTTTTAAAGTCCCATGTGATAAAATTTACATACCTGATACAGCCTTAAAGAATCGAAAGACTTGGAGGGTAGTCCAAATTTAGTCATTGTAACTCTGGGTTAAGTATTTATATCCTCTAAAGATCTGTAAAACAGTTAACGTGATAATCTCTCCTCCCCACCAAACAGGGCTATTTTCCAATGGGCTGTAAGGTTCTTCTCTTACTTGGTGGAAACAGGCAAATTAACTTATCGGAAAGCTGAGAAGTGCCCTTAGTGGACCAACATTATTCCAATCTTAGTTCATACCAACTGGAAGCAGATTTTAAGTAGAGAATCAGGCTAGAATGCTAGAAAACGGGGCCATGACAAGGTGCTGGAGGTGCTGACCTAACAGTGCTGAGTCAGAGCAGGGGCAAGCTTGCTCAACTGGTCCCTCAGCTGTCCATGGTTCCCTGGGGGCAGGGGCTGGGAACAACATCCATTAATTAATCTACTTAACTGAGCACTTGACAGAAAATATGACATGTGAGGTGTTTTCAATGGTGATCCTGAGTCAGTACATTTAAGCAAAGTATGTAAGATTTGCCTATTTTCTGAGCAAGGTAGGTTTAAATATATTCTAATAGAAAAGCAAAATACAAAATGCATAGCTTCTTTAAATCCAGAAGGGTTTCACTGACAACATCTTACGTGGAACATCTCACTCTAGTGATATCACATATGTTCTGGCCTTAGCTATATTCACATTACTCAAATGACTACTTCAGTTAAAAGTATTAAAAAACACCTGAAATCTATAGGCCTATTTATTTTCAGCAACCTTGCTCAGTCTGAGAAGGCTACAAGCATAAGCTATCAGTTCAAATTCATTTCCTGTTCCTTTCAGGTAACCTGTTTTGTGGCACAAACTTGATTTTACCCAGATACCAAAAAATTTCCCACCTAACATGTTACCTTTTCTAGATATATCAGGGCTATTTATAAAAAGTAACATTTTTGTGTTTTTACATAGTGCATTCATAATGTCATGCTGATACTAAGCAAGAAAAAAACTGGTTTTCCTCCAAAAGTCAATTGCTCAATTTCAAACTATAGAATTTGCATTTTCTAATGGATTACTTTTGACTGTGTATATGTTATATTTTAACACAATAAGGCTATTACTAAAAGAGTCATGGGATCCTTTTCTAGTAAGAAGTTAATATGAAAGGTAATTTGGGAAGAACAGTGTGTTTACAGGAAAAGAGAAACTCCCAAGTCATCTGCCCGTTCAGGAATCCAGTGTGGCAAGGCTGTCCCATCTGCATCGAGCCAGGTACCTCATACAAGGGGCTCAGTTCTTAGGACAGACTAACTTAAGGCAAGCTACTTCTGTGGATAAACAACATTTAGGTTTTGTCTCACTCTGTGCAATACTATTACTGCACAGAAGAGAAGAGTTTTCTCACCAAATCAGACTCATACCAGTTACATCTCTCCACTAATGTAACTTGCAGGAAATGCGGGGATTACGTAACACTGAACCCACTGAACCTAACACAAGTGCCTCAAGCAGCAACCTGGGGACATGGGTGAGTCAGAGGCTGCGCGTCACCGCACAAACAGAAAACCTATCAGAAACGCACTGGGTTCTAATGAGCTCAAACACTTCATAAAAACACCTATTCCGTAAGCCGAGCAGGCTGCCTGGACTCGGCAGGTAGACTAACAGCAGAGGGCCTGTCTGGATCCAGCTCTCAGCTGAAGATGCAAACGTGGACGCCCTGCAAGAGACCGTCCCCCAGTCCTAGCTAAACTGATGGCAATAAGAGTCCCCTACATCCATGGAGGGCTCCTAGTGCAGACAAAATGCCAAATAGGAATTTTAAAAGAAATCCTGAAATGTATGTAAACAGTATTTAAAAAGTTAAATACCAAAAACTAAAAATTTAATTCATTCTGGAGTTTTTAAAAAACGTGAAATGGGGAAGAACACATTTGTTGAATTAAAATTCATCACATATAATAAATTTGAAGCCATTTGCTCTACTTGTATGTATTATAATAACCCTATTAACAAAAGTCATAGGTTCTCATTTGCTCTTTTCATTTCATGCTGATCCAGGAAACAAAGCTACTGAATTGTATTTTGACAGCAACCTGACACCTCTTACATTTCCACAAAAGCAGTGGAACAAAACAAAGTACTTTTCCTACAGATTTAAAGCAAACAAGCGGTTTCCTTTCAGGAAGCTACACATGTTATTCCTTTGCTTACCTAGTAACTGATGTGACAAACTTCTTTGCCGTATCCAGGATATCCATCTACCTATTTTAAAAGTCTCTGCTCTCTTGCTAAGTCTTTTGTTAATTCTGTCCAGTAAATAAGTATACAATGGATAATTCTGTATTTATAAAAGCCTTACTGACTTTCTGGTTCTAAACGCTTTAGAGATCATTTAGACACATCTGTTTAGATTTGGGGGAAAGAGGCTCCCGCTACATGGTGGCTTACTACTTTAGGGCAAAAACGAGGCAGAGCCCTGACACCCTCACTTGTCACTGCTTCTATTATAGCGCACTGTTTTGTTAGATGAAAATTAAGGAGTAAACGAGTTCAAGGGAGTAAATCTAAAGTGTGTTTTGAAATTCACTGAAATCTCTATAAAAGCAAATATACACAAGTATTTACATTAGTTATGAATAAATCACATTCTAATATCAAGAGAAGGCTAGTCTTTTATAAGGTAAATGCAATAAACATGTTTGCGGAAGGCAACTTAATGAATTTAAGGGAAAAGAAACTGAATATTACTAACAGGCTGACATCCACATCCCTTTGCAAGAAGACAGGAGAGCCAAAGGGCTATTAGCTATCATTCTAAACTCGACACTCTTTAAGTATTTTTTCAGGAGAAAAGTAGAAATATATGCATAGTTTAGCAAATTAGAGGAGAGAGTAATTTTTCATTGCTCATTTTCTTCTACGTTCATGTTATGTATTTATATTCAGTGTCTACAAATTCACTGAGCACTGTATAATCTTTAAGAATGTATGTACCTGTCATACAGGTGACATAGGTCTATGCCCCAAGACCCCATCTGCATCTTCCACCAATACACTTACTGAATTCATTCCACTGAATAGGTCTCCCGATCCTACATGAGCCGTGTGCACAAAATTTGTTGGCTCTCCAATCATACTTCGGTCAATCCTCCGGCGCCTTTTCTAAAATACAGGGAAGAATGTGTTGAGAAATGATTTTATTAGCAACATACTTACTCTGTTGGATTTATTTACTACGGATGAATGATTTTAATGACCATAATACGATTTCCCCAGGACATCAGGATCCCGACATCTTGCGACTATCAGGATTACCTCAAGAGAGGTATATGCACACACACCCACAAAACGATTGGTAAAGCAAAACAATAGTTATTGTTTAGAACTGAAAATACATTATTTGGCCTAGCTCTGGCTATTGACTTATTTGTATAATAACTATTTAGGTTTTATTGTTTTAAAAAAAATAACTGTAAAATTATCACCAGTGACGTTATTGTTAGCAAGGAATACAGTGTGATTTGAGTACAACACTCTTGATGTTAACATCACTTTCTAGGTTTCATCATTAACAAACTGACATTAGGGGCGCCTGGGTGGCTCAGTTGGTTAAGCGTCTGCCTTCGGCTCTGCTCATGGTCCCAGGGTCCTGGGATCGAGCCCCAAATCGGGCTCCCCGCTCAGTGGGAAGCCTGCTTCTCCCTCTCCCACTCCCCCTGCTTGTGTTCCCTCTCTCATTCCCTCTCTAGCTGTCAAATAAATAAATAAAATCTTAAAAAAAAAAAAAAACACACCTGACATTTTGATGGTTTTTACTTAGATTACACCCCCACAACCATTCCACCCTAGAATGAATCGGCTGCTCTGTTTGGAGGAAATGTGGTCCCAATCTGTTCACTCTTCTCTGGTCTGAGCTGGCTGGGCATGAAACCCTACCCAAACTCAGTCTACTAGGCTGGGGCTTAGTGACCCCTCCTAATTTCTGACAACCACCTCTTACAGGGTACGGAGTAACTTCTGCTACCAGCTGTAATCCTTGCCTCACCAATATGCCCATTCACCTCATTAGAGAGAGTTCCTTACCCTGCTGTTTTACTGATCATGAGATTCTTCCAGGGACAAAGGTTATCTTCAATCAGTCCCACGTTTTCCATGACCCCTTAGATACTGTGAGCTAGCGGAGAGCAACACTGCACTGCTGGCTTAGTGTCTGAACACCAGTGCTGCTGCTCCCCCTTTACTTCCCTTTGAACAATATACCGTGTCTACCGCTACTGAAATGCTGGTATGTATAATCCTGATAAATCCTAAAAACTTACCAAGACAGACCCAAGTGACAGCACCTCAGGATTAAAACACAATTTTCTACAAAGCCACCAAAATGGGGAGTTCATACATTAATTTCAGAAGCCAACATACATTGTTTTACCATCCTCTAGCTTTTCCGGCTGCCATTCAGGATCCCAAAAGAAGCCGAGTTTTTCCTTAGAAATATTTATGTTCATCCTCACAGCCCAACGACAGACAGTGGGCGATCTCCAAGTTCGTTGGTTTCTCCATCCAGTGCGTCTATCTGAACACAGGTTTTACTGTATCTTGGAGAAGTTTTCTTCTCTTATGTTTTTATAATGCCGCTCGTGTTCCTTTCTGCAATTTGTTTCACTGTTAGATGAACAGTGGATTATATTTGTGTGTGTGTATGATCTTCCAATTTTCTGGTATTTTTATCCAATATTTTTATTTCTCTCATAGTTTTGCTATATTGAAAACTAACTTTACTTGATCTTCTTCAGGAATCCACAAATTTTTTTCTTACAGACCAAGACAGTAAATAGGCTATTCCATGTGTCGTAGCTTCAACTCCACTATGGTCCTTGGGCCACAAAAGTCGCTATGGACAAATGCATAAACAAAGTAAGGGTAGCTCCATTCCAGTGAACACTTACTCATGGAAACACGGAGCAGGCTAGATTTGGCCCACAAGCAGTAGTTTGGAGAGCCCAGCTCTAGAACAGTTTTTTCAGTAGTAGCTACATACTATTTTTCAACTACAGTTATTTTTTTCAGAAGCTCTGTTATGAAATGACATCACACCGCAGTATTTTTTCATCTCTTTGAGTATTTGTATTACAGGTTTTCATTTTCCCTCTCAAAATGCTTGACTGTACGAATTACAGTCTGTGACACTAACAGCAAAATACTCTCACTCATTTACTTGAAGCCCCTTTTGCAAGGGTTGATAAGAAATTCAATCACTCGGGTCCGCCTGGGTGGCTCAGTCGTTAGGCATCTGCCTTCAGCTCAGGTCACGATCCCAGGGTCCTGGGATCGAGCCCCGCATCGGGCTCCCTGCTTGGCGGGAAGCCTGCTTCTCCCTCTCCCACTCCCCCGGCTTGTGTTCCCTCTCTCGCTGTCTCTGTGTCAAATAAATAAATCTTAAAAAAAAAATAAAAAAAGATATTCAATCATTCGTTTGGGGCCTTGCTCCCTAATTATAGAAAAATTTCAGGTTCAGAAGGTGTCAGTGAACCAAGAGAGGATCCAGAACCTTTGTCTGTTTTCCAGTTTTTCTGTTTGTCAGCACAACGCACAGATTTCCACTGTCTTCATCTCGTATGTTGTCACTTCAGGCGCTCTAAAGGTACCTCAGACTCCGTGCCCCTCAGCACCGACTCAACACCCACAGCATCCTTGGACTGGGGACACCCATACCAGCAACGCACTGGTTCCCCCACACTCTCAGTTTATCTATTTCTACCCAGTCCATTCAACACACTTCCCTTCACACTGCTCTCTTCTAGGGTAACACAGCACAGATGAGCTGTAAGAGGCAAAGCTGCCTTCTCTTTTAGAGGATTAAGGTAAGGAAAGAAGATGCTAATAGCACTTTTGTGCCTTTTTTCTTCCCGGCTATACTGTTCCATTCCACTGAATCTGCTTTGATAGAAAGTTGTGGGTCCAGGCGCATCTAAATGTATCTTCACCATCAAAAGATAAGAATTTTCTCAATACCTGGGCCGGAAAAATTGTTGGGGTTTCTTCCCCAGTAAGCCCCTTGACTGACAGTTAAACAGAAAGACTTCTAGCTTCTTGGCACCCTCCACACAGCAGGAAAGGGTGGATGGCTCCAGTTGAAGAAAAACGATAGCAGTGACGTTCCAGGGGATAATGGCAGCCATAGGCCTGAAGACTTTTCCTCCTCAGCCCTGTGCAATCCACTTACAGGTGCAACAGCTCCTGATGGCAGAGGGTGCCACATGGCTCAGCCAGAAGGCCCTCTCAAACAGGTTAAGGGATGGGCACATTTCAGAGAGTAAGCTCTATTCCACGACACTGGGAGTCTTGACCATCCCTTGCCCTGTGAACACATAGGAGCAACTTCTCAAGTTCTGTCTTTGTAATTTCCTCTGGACGGGTGTGTTCAGGGCTTAGCAAAAGGCTACACTTGGCCCACATCTCCTCATTAAGTGATTTATTCTAACAACTGAATTACTGAAGGAAGATGTTGGGGGCGAGGAATCACCATGGGGCACTCAGGCCACCACCCAACTCCCCAGAAACGTTTCTTGAAAGGAATTCATGAATGGATCAGGTGGTTAATCAAAATGAAAGACTATAACAAACATTCTGAATACTGAGGAAGGATGTTTCACAGAGATTACTCTCATACTGAAGGGCAAAGGACAGATAATTTGTAAATCTGAGAACAGTGAATACATTTTCACTTCAACTTTACTGAGCCGGGAGTTAGGCTTTCCCCTTTCATCTTGTAAGGTTTCTTCATGCTATTAATCTGACATTGATGTAAGGTACAGAGGTTGAAGCTTTCAGTCCTTCCTTCCCTAATGACAAGACAGGTTGTTTTTTTGTTTTGTTTTGCTTTTTAAAGATTTGAGAGAGAGAGAGAGAGAGAGAGAAGGAAAATGAACAGGGGGAGAGGCAGGGAGCCCGACGCGGGACTCAATCCCAGGACCCCGAGATCAGGACCCCAGCGGGAGGCAGACGCTTAACGACTGAGCCCAGGCGCCCCGTGACAAGCGGGTTTTAGAGGCCCGTCCAGGCCAGTCCACAACAGCCACAGCTTGCACGCAGGCTGCAGGAGCCGGACAGGCCGTGACAGTAACGCCGGGGGGAAGAGGTTACTTGGATTCAACTACAGGCGCTGAGGTGGAAAGAACTAGGTAGATGTAATTCAGTGGGTAAAATCAATAGCATTGGGTTGTTGCCTGGATGTGAGAAGGGAGCGGCAGAAGTTAAGAAAATGCACAGATTTCCCATCTGAGAGGAATGTACACAATTCACAGGAGCAGGTAACACTGGAAGAGGGGGCAGGCTTTAGGAAGAAGATGAAAGAGCTGAAGATGCACTGAACTTGAGGTATGTCTGAGACATCCAAGTGAAGTTATCAAGAGGGCGAGCTGGATACACAGATGTAGGATTCTGACAGAGGCTAAACTAGACAGAAGAAATCAAGTCTCACCAGCACAATAAAGAAGTGCACAGAGGAACCCTAATGTGAGGTGGAGAAAAATAAGCCATCAAAGGAGGCTAAAGAGAAAATGCCTGGAGGGGTTAGGCAAACACAGCTGAAAGTGGGTGAGAGGTCAGATAAAGACCAAAGGAGTGCCTGTAGGGGGGAGAGTGGAGGACTTCTGAGGGGACAGACGAGTGTGCAAGAGGCAGGGAATGGAGTATCGAACCGAAACAACTGGACACAGTCTGGCCATCTGGACAGGGCCAAGAAAGAACGGGCTGAGCTGAAAGAGGAGGAAAAGAGGACTGAATTTTTCCCTTTAAAAGATGAGAAAGACTTGATTTAAGCTTAATTTCTGATAAGATCCAGTGAAAGAGTCTAAAAGTAGAGAAAAATCATCATCACCATGGTAATATTCCAGGGAGGGTAGGAGGGACAGATCCAGACACAGGATGACATGTTCTTTGCATTTGTATTATAACATTCTTAACCTAGATGCTAATAATTACCTATCTCAAAATATAAAAATGTACTATTTTTCAGTCACTACGGACACTTAAAGAATAGGACACTTCTGTGGTGTGCTGTATTAAGAATACAAGACAGAGACAAGATTTAAATCACGGGCAAACAAGGGGAATTCCAGAGTTGGGCCTCTGCAAAGAAAAACAGGAAGTGGTGCACTCGC